TGTTCTGAGGATATGGGTTCAAATCAGGGCAGATGATGAAATTTGAATTCAATAAAAATTAGAACAAATAGTCTAATGGCTGATACTGATTGTTGCCCATGGCCATACTAGTCAAGTAAAAAATGCCCGATCTCATCTGATCTCAGAATAAAGCAGACTCAGACTTGGTTAGTAGTTGAATGGGAGACCGCCTGGGAATGCCAGGTGCAGTAGGCTACCTGACGTCATGCACCAGTTGGAGGATGCTCAGGTGTGTTGTGGAATATCGTCTGCATGTACCCTTGCCCAGATGGAATTTCACATTGGCCCCAGGATCCTGTACTTTCCCCAGAGCCTGTGTCCCACAACTTGAACCGCCACCAAGATTTATGTTGTATGTCTTTTGGGGAAGCAAAATGCTGGACAATGTCTAGACTGCTGCTGGACACCATCCAGCTCTTCTTCTTCGACTGTCTGCCTTGGCGTGCCTATTTACCTTTACTGTGCTCTGTGCGGGAGTCCCCCCTCTTTCCCTTGGAGATCTGGAGTGGAGGGTGTTGCACACAATAGTCCCTTGCAACTGCAGATTGCGGTGTTTCACGGACTCCCAGCCCAACCTTTTGTTTTTGGCACTGTGGAGTCCGTGGACCATGTATATATTGGTTGTGGGCGCTTGCACTCCCTTTTCAGTTACCTGAAGAACGTTTTGTCTCAATTTTTGGTTGCATTTCAGCCCCACGCTCCTGATCTTTGGGCACCCAGTGCTGAGAGGAGCAGGCAAGTTGGAGGATCTTATAGATCATAGATATCCCTATAGTGTGGAAACAGGCCCTTCGGCCCAACAAGTCTACACTGAACCTTAGAGCATCCCACCCAGACTCATCCCCCTGTAACCCACCTAATCTATACATCCCTGAACACTATGGGCAATTTAGCACGGCCAATTCACTTAACCTGCACATCTTTGGACTGTGGGAGGAAACCGGAGCATGCGGAGGAAATCCACGCAGATGCGGGGAGAATGTGCAAACTCCACACAGACAGTCATCCGAGGGTGGAATCGAACCCAGGTTGCTGGCGCTGTGAGGCAGCAGTGCTAACCACTGAGCCACCGTGCTGTCTTCTCCTCGTGGGTCTGCTCCTGGGCCTGGCCAGACTGGTGACAAACAGGTCTAGGCAGTGGACCGTGGAGGGGGTCATTTTGGCCAATTGCCTGCCCCTCTTCTGCACATAGGTTTGAGCCCGGGTGTCCATGGAGAGGGAGCACGTGCTGTTCATCAATGCTCTCGATGCCCTTAGGGAGAGGTTTAAGGTCGAGTGCTTTATTTTATTCCCCAATTCTATTTAGGTTTAATCTCTATCCTACCCCTTCACTTTTTTTTCACGTACTTATTGCCCCTACCGGGCTTTGCTTGTTACTGGTTCCTTTGCCATGTGTGTTTTTCCTTGGTGGTGAATGTATTGAATAGAATTATTTGCACAATGATATCTTCCCTGAGTACCTGCAATTATGCACGGCATGTGTGCACACAGCAGTACTGCTATGGAGCAGTAATGTGGGGGAACAAAAAGAGCAGTATCAGACGTTCTGACACAGAGCTGGTTCTGAGGGAGCTGGAACAGTGTTAAGGATTTTCCATGTGTAAATGGATGGTATCTTGGTGATGGGATGCCAGCCTCTGTGGAGTTATTTCAGTGGTGACAAGCGTGGGATACATTCCTGAAGAAACTTGCTCACGACAGTCGCCTTTAAGTTGGGGTAAGCATTTTTGGCATCATGCTGTTATTTGGGAAGCTTGACTCATTTGACCCTGCTGTCAAAGACTGAATGCATTATTTTTCTGGGCAAATGGCATTGGGGCAGATGAAAAGTAACGAATAATTCTCATGACAGCTTGTGGACCTGTAGCTTTTTTGGTTATTAGGAGCCTAACTTTTCATGAGGAACCAGATACTGAAACCTTTCAAGAGTTGGTGGATTTAGTTTAGGAATATTACAACCCCAAGCCTCCTGTAATTCTGAGATGCTATTGTTTTTAGTCGGCAATTTGAGAACCGGAGGAATCCAAATCGGGATTTTTGGCTAGGTTAAGACACTTGGCAGAGGGATGTGACTTTGGTTTAACCCTTAATGGGATGCTGAGAGACCTTGTCTCTTACCCACGCAGAGCTGGTGAATTATTACAGAAATTTCATACATAGTCTGCATCCATCCTGGCACGTAAATATGCCCAGACAAAGAAGGAAGATTTGGCGGTCCATTTTGGAGTCAGTAAGTTCCATCAATACCTTTTATGGGCATACATTTGTGATAATAACGGACCCGACTAGCTACTTAAGGAGGACAAGGCAGTGCTGCCCAAAGCTTCAGGCCGAATTCAACAATGGGTATATACTAAGTGCGTACAATTCCAAGTTCGAACACCATCCGGAAGGCCAAGTAGCAAATGTGGATGCATTGAGTTGACTTCCACTAGCTGGTGGTACTGACGCTGGGCAAGTCCGTAATGGTTCAAAATTTTCTGGACATACTGTTGACTGTGCATCCGAAGTCTTATACTTGCATAAAGATCAGTCCTGGCAGAACTGAAACAGCTGGTGGTGATGGGGGGAACCAAAGGACTGTCATAACCAGCTTTGGACCCGGAGAGACCAGATCACAATAGAGGACGGCCTGTTATTAGGGGGTGCAAAATTGATTGCCCTGAGCAAAGTTTGCTGCCAGATACTGGCTGAGTTCTACCAGAGTCATCCAGAGGTCTTCAAAATGAAGATGTCATGTCTAGTGGCCAGTTGTGGACGCAGACATAACCACCTTGGTGGGG